CCAAATCTTAATTATAATCTAATCTCTCTTGATTAAACTCTCTGATTATTTTAAACCCTAAAATAATCCCTTATATATGTGTACAAACGAGGATGGCAAAGTGGTAAATAACCAAACCTAACCCAAACAAGAAAACACGTAAATAGAGTCTTTAACGAATCTGGAAAACTCTGATGGGTCGACTCATGAACAGTTATGAGTTGACTCATGACCTCATCTGAGTCGACTCATAACTGATGAGTCGACTGGTCAGAAACTTTTGTTAACAAGACTTGATTTCTTGAGTCGACTCAAAACTATATATGAGTCGACTCATGACTGATGAGTCGACTCTTGAAATGATGAGTCGACCGAGCAGAAACTTTTAATAAAATGGCTGGGTTTCATGAGTCGACTCATGACAGGCATGAGTCGACTCAACCTGATGAGTCGACTCATGTACATGTATGAGTCAACTCACAGGCTAAAATCTGGATACTTTGACTCTTTGATTCTCTACCTCGTTCCTCGCTCCAACCTACGTTCCCCTATACTGTTTGATACCTCTATTCTTATGCTATCATGAGAATCATCTATCCTTAAGCTCGCATAAGGATTGCTAAGTTCCGAAGAGAAGATACACCCGTATCAAGATACAAATAGCTAAAAGAGTAAAAAAGACACGACAAAAGGCCAGGAGGCTCGCGTGAGTGCGAGCCACCAAATGGTGGTTCACACCCATGCGAGCCACCATGACTATTTTGGCCTCCCAAACTTCCCAAAATGCGGATTTCGATATTTTATTATAATTCTTTCATCTCAGGACCTCCCTAACTGTTTTGAAGCTATCCTTAAGTGTGCCTGGGTGGTTATCAACTGTAAATAATATCAAAACACTTGATCTTATCAAAAAACGTAGCGACAAAAGCCTATAAATAGAAGCTCAGGGTCTTCATTAGAGAGGATCTGAAATCTAAGGGCAAGATGTTGTCGATTTGAGCAGTAAAACACAAATTTCAGAGGAGAATTGGCAGATCTTGGAGAACTTTTTCATAAAGAAAAAGCCTTCGAAAGATTTGAGATTCTTTCCCTCTCTTTCCTCTGGATCAAACTTTGTTTTGATCTCGAGAAGAGCTACAATCTTGCTTGGTCATGAATTTCATTGTTGCAATTGTTTCCTTTGTGAAACAATATCATAATTAAACTTATCAACCGGATCTGATCTGCGGCGGTCCACAGACTAACGCATTCCCGACACAGACAAAGATCCCACTCTAAGGAACATGAGATAAACTATTGCTGCGTTTTGTTGGATAAAGTTATAATTTTTACTTTCTCGTTGTAAGAAAATCTTATAAAAAGATCAACTTGAACTTGTAATCGATTAACAATGTAACAGGTTTGACAGCAATGAAAAAAGTAACTTTTGACGAAAACAATTATGATAGCATGAGTGCTATCTATTTGGCGAAAAATCAGGTTTTTCATGTGAGGATGAAGCACGTTCATTATCACTTCGTTCGAGATGTTCTTAAAGATGGTGATGTGGAGATTATGAAGGTCCACACAAAGGATAATATGGCGGATATGCTCACTAAAGTGGTTCCGAACAACAAGTTTCATTATTGTTGAAACTTATTGCACATTCGTGATTGTTGAGGCCATTGACGGCCATTTGGATGAACTGGTGGCTTGATCCCTTGGGAGAGGGGCTACGTAGGCAACCATGTTGGTGCAGCCAATTTTGGAGAGACGACGTATTGGTGCTCTTCGTTTGGTATCGGCTCAGTTTTGGGAAAACTTCACCGAGGTGGAGAATTGAAGAGAATGTAGGAAAATTATAGAAACTGGCGTTGGACTTCCAGCAATCGACCGCGAGTGGCGTGGCGGTCGACCATCCAAACCCTGTAATGAAAATTGATTTCTGTCGTTAGATCCGGTCGACCGCACATGGCTCTGCGGTCGACCGCGAATCGGGCTAGGCCAGAACTTTGGTTTCCTGTTCGCATTAGGTTTATGTTTTGATATATATTAAAACACGATTTTCTAGGTTTTCAGAGGAGGAAAAATAAAAGATTTTAGATTGTACTGAGCATATTGAGAGGGAGAACTTGTGAGCAAGTTGAGAGATTTGGTTTAGGGTTTGTGTGCGTAATTTTGTGAGATTATAACCATTTGTACTCTCCTTGATTTAGTGGAATCTCTCCATCCTCTCCCGGTGGACGTAGGCAAATTACCGAACCACGTATATCTCTGTGTTTGGTTTGATTTGTCGTATTTGGATTGAATTGTGCTCGTGTGTGGTTTGGTTCTATTCTCCCGTGATCACAGATTCGTTCGGTGTGCGAGCACGCTTCCATATAGGCGCGCAACAACTTCGTTTTAACATATTCTATTTGATAATATCTATATGTGGTTAAAGTCTTAAATACGCATAACACAGTTTATGAAAGTTATAGAGTGCAACAACTCATTAAATTCAAGAAAATAGACTGTGCATGTTTCCAAATGTTTGCCACAAAATTTTTGGCATCTCTGATAAAAGTTTCACAAAATAGGGTTTCCATCGGACCCCAAACCAAATGTTTGGTCACCTCGACCAGACGGTTGCTCGTCATCCAAGTGGCTGCGTCATCGTCCACTGTGGCTGTACCATCATCCAGTGCAATTGTTGTAGGACCCTAGATGGTGGGTGATTAGGGTCAAGAGGCTCTAATATGCAATTAAAATTCAGTACCAACAAACCACAGTAACAGAAG